TTCTCCTAAGCCAAGAAGCAGGACAGGTGGCCTTGGGCAAGTCCAACATCTCACACTAACTTGATTTGGAGTAATATGAGTTAACCCAAGAGGATGGGGCGGTAATACAATAATGGTGCAGCTCACAAACACATAGGTTATGTAGTTCTATCTGTAGTTGACTGATAGTTATGGAATCTGTAGTAGAATAGACAAGTCAAATCTGTTTCTAGTACAAGCCATATTCACTTATAATCCTTTATTCAGAAATTTGTTCCATCCTCTCTATGCGTGGGTATGCATATACATGCACACTTCAAGTCACCTGTCAACTTATGGCAGCCCCATGCATTTCATAGGATTTTCTCAGGCAAGAAATATTCAGAGGTGTTTTTCTCAGCTCCTTCCTCTCAAATAGAGCCTACAGCACCTGGTATTCATTGGTGGCCCCCCATCCAAGTACTAACTAACCAGGCCTGATTCATCTTGGTCTTCAAGATCAGACAGAATCTGGTACCTTTAGGGCAGTGCTTCCCAAACTCTGGCCTTCCAGGTGTTTTGGACCTTGGTTCCCAGAATCCTTAGCCATTGGCCAAGTCAGGTGAGGCTTCTGGGAGCTATAGTCCAAAACATCTCCATGTTTTGATCTTACAAATATGTGCATTCAAATGCATGCATAAAAACATCTTAAATGTACAACAGTCATCCCTCCCAATTCATGGGGGATCCATTCCAGGACACACACACACACACACACACATACCATGAACGGGTAAAAACACGGATATTCAAGCCCCATTTATTTTAATGGCGGTGCACTCCTGCGTGTGCCGTTGTGCATGCGCCATGGGCATAGATGTGCCATTTTGTTCCTCCTGGCTTGCTGTCCATGAAGGATCAAAACTGTGGATGGCAAGTCCGCAAACCAGGAGGGACAAGTGTATATTCTTTCTACATTTAGATGCAAAGTGATTGTGCAAGCAAAAAGCATACTTTGAATGCGCTCCCAGAGCAAACCAGCTCTTCCTTTTTCCCAGGAGCAGCTCTGTCCACCTCCACCATCCAGAATACAAAAGATGTGCTGGTAACATTGCAGCTCTTCTTTTGAATTTGGCTTAACAAATGCAGGTTATTATTTTATTTTATTTTATTTTAAAAAAAGGAATGTTCTAGGATTGACAGGACCTTAAACAAGCTTTCTTGTCTGCAGAGCGTATCTTCCCCTGGAGATGATGCCTGAAAATGATTTTAAAGAAAAATGTTTTTTAAAAAAGCAAACAACTGTTGCCAAGTCGTGGAGTAGGTCCAAGTTTTTCTGGAAGTACTTTGTGGGCAGACAGCTGAATAGAGCACTATACAATTGGTGGCCCGGCATTTAATTATTTCCGGGAGTTGTTGGGTTGTTGTTGTTACTTTTTCCTCTCCCTCCCTCCAACTTCTGTTCTTTGGCTGAACATTACAGTTCTGCTGGCACCAAAAAGAAAAGGGAAAGGATCAACTCAATGCAAGAAAATTGGACTTTATTATTAAAATTGTATACAAAATAGTATATTTATGTGATAATAGATAACACTATTGGATCAGGAGACAATCTTAAAATAAGGGAAAGTCAGAATCAGTTGATTGGGGTAGGAGGTCAACTGTTAAGTTGTTGTATGTATTATGTATGTATTGTCTATGTAAGTTTTTTTGTCTCTTGATTTTGTTAGTTTTGTATATAGATGTTTTTAATCATTAAAAATTTGTAAAAAATAAAAACAATTAAAACAATACAGAAGAGACTAGCCCTAGATTAAACATAAATAAAAGACCACGTCCTGTCCAAGATCTGAATACCTGGATGCTCTTGTGCTTGCAATTGAACCATTTTAAATTGGTGAAATACAATCCATAAACTAAAGAATAAAGATGATAATGCTTCAGCTTCCCCATTTTGGTCGAAGACAAAATTCAAGGCTCAGGGAAGCGCTTAAGGGTTTAGCAGGTTTCTTGATTTTTAAGGTCAGCGACACAACGAATTCATCTCCTGCAGGAGGTGAGATTTGTGGGACAGAGAGGCAATCTCTTTATCCAAGCTAAAGCTCCATCCGGCGTTTCTGGCAGAGAAGCGACTTAAATCACATTTTTAAAATCAATATGGAAGCTAAGAACACCGAATCAAGAGGGGGTCTGAGATCAAAACAATAGTTTTAGCTTCTTAGAGTGATCTCTTACCAGGTGCTGAGGTTTGCTGAGAATTTAGTTAGTGGTCCTCTCCATCAATATCTTCTCCAATATCCTTCCCAAATCAAACAGCAACTTTTCAGAACTCACTCCTAGACTTGCATGGACACACCTATGACAGCCCCATTCTGTCTTTATCGACCCAAGCTATGCAAAAAGCTCAAGCAAATTAGGCAGGCTCTAAATGAGGATTTCTACACCGGCAGGAGGACACTGTAGGTCAATTTAACAACTCTAGAGTAGTTAAGTGATATGCCATGACCCACATCCAACCATTGGAAGGTCACCACTCCATCGGACCCTTTCAGCAGACAGAAAGACAACTTCTAAGACAAAGCAGCCTACTGAGAAGAAGGATGACAACCAAGTCCACCATCATCTCTAGGAGGAGAATATTAGGAGACATACTTTAACTGTTTGACAGTGGAACAGACTGCCTTGGAAGGTCATAGACATATTTAAGCAAAAGGTGAATAACCATCAGTTAGGGATTCTATAATTAAAATTGTGCACTAAGCACAAATGGGATATTACCGCTATGATCCCGCCAATATCCCATAAATAACATGACGCTTTTCACGTGACATTGTGTGATGTCATCAGTGTTGCATGATTATCCCGTGAATAAAGCCACAAAATTATGCCGCTTATTATTTTTGGGAAAATCCTGAAAATAAAAAGTGGCACAATTTTGCCACTTTATTCATGGGATAATTGAACAATAATGATAATGTTGTGTGGAAAACGTCATGATATTTCACGATATTCATGGATATTGCTGGAGAATAGGACTAATATCTCATTTCTTTTCCAGTCTGATAAACTCCTATGTTTGGAACCTCCTTCATGTTGATCATACTGTGTTCTTCTTAACTTCATCTACCAGCTGCATTGAATACCTTTGTTAAAAGCTAGATCATATCATTGTTGTTGTTGCCATCATCATCGTCCATATGCCACCCTCATCCTTCCATGATGATGGGCACCTGCTGCATCTCTGTTGGGTCCTACCATCTGGGAGCTCATCCTTGCCCTTTGCCTTTACTATCAGCCTCTGGGTGTGACCAGTTGACATCTTGCACAAATCTTGTTCTAGTAAACCAACACAAATCACATCTCATGGTCTTGACAATGACTCAATTTTACTGTCATGAAGTAAAATATGCTGGAGGTTTCCACTCCTCTGATGGCCTAGGCCTGTGGTGGCGACCTGGGATTTGGGGGCATAAATCTTTAGACTACAGTCGCCCTTCTGTTCTCGCAGACTTCAGAACCACAGTTTTGAATATTCACAGACGACCTCCATTATGATCAATGGGGCACGCATCTGTGGTGTGCACCACCCGTGCCCATAGGTACATGCCTCATTCAAGCCTATGGGACTTGAATATCGCCAAGTCTCCATTTTCACGGGTCCGGAACGGATCCCCGCGAAAATGGAGGGCCAACTAAAACGGTTCCCATGCTGATTTAGCTTTCACAGGCTGAACTAGCTCCAACAGAAACAATATGATTTATTTAGGTATTTTCTCCTAGTTCCATGAGATCCTTCCTTGTCCTTCAAAACTGTGTTAGGCATGTATGTACTCAAACATCTACACACCGATTCTGAAAAAGAAATGAAAGGTTCCAGTAATGACAGGAGAGGTATAATAGACAAGCTTGAGGTCTACAAATTCAAGAGTGTCCTGGATTCACCCTTCTCTGTGTTCTTCTAGTCCGTACTATTCTTTTCACAGCTCACAATTCATGTGCTGAGTTCTCTTTGCCCCCAAAGCAGATCCTCTCAGCCCGGGAAGACAATCACCAAAATTTTGGCAGCAGACCAGAACTGCGAGTTCCTGGAGCAAAACACAAAACTTTGAATCCCTCAGGGTAAGGCACTCATTTGTGCTGGTGTTTTCTAAAGCAAGCCCATCTCACTTCATCTTAGCTTCTGTTGGATGTGGAGAAATGTGGAACCATGCTCACACAAAAGACTATGTGCCTCTGCATCCAACCAAAGTTGAGACAGTATTCATCTCTGCCTTATTAACTCTGTTTTTCCTCACCTACAGACTGATAGTCTCACCTTTGTCTGCATTTCTGGCATAGCTCTTTCTCTCATGCCATCATGAAGCCAACGACAGCAGACCTCACATTTTCTATATTCTAAATATAATGTTGTTGTGCATCTTCAAGTCACTTCTGAATTATGGCACAGTTCAAGCTAATAAACCTCCCTTCACTATTTTGTTGATCATTCATCCAAATACTAGCTTCTAAGTGCTAAACAACTCTGAAAGGGAGAGAAACCAAGCCAATGGGGTAATGTATTTCAGCCGCAGATGTGGATCTCCATTCATGCAACTGGGTCTGAATAAAAGGAACTCTACCCAAACAGGAAAATTTACATCAGCAAGGAATGCAAAATATCATGGACTCTTTGTTCTGTCTTGAATGTCCTAACCCACAGAAGTAAGGGAAAGCTTGAGAACTTCCAGCTAGTATGTAAAGGAGAGCAGTTAAAGAAGGTTTCAAATGACTAAAGGTCAAAATAGAAAATGTATGGCTCTGCAGAGTTACAGAATTATGGAGTTGGAAGAGACTACAAGGATCATCCAGTCCAACCTGCGGCCTCTGCTCCAAAACCTCCAATGAAGGAGTTGTTGTTGTTGTTGTGTGTCCAAGTCATTTTTGGCTTATAGCAACCCTAAGGTGAATCTATCATAGGGTTTTCTTGGCAGAAGGGCTTTGCCATTGCCATCCTGTGAGTCTAGGAGAGTATGGCTTGTCCAGGGTCACCCAATGGGTTCTTATGCTCAAGAGGGAAATCGAACCCTGATCTTCAGAGTTGCAGTCCAAAGCTCAAACCACTACATCACATTGGCTCTCAACTCCGCCACATTTTGAGTAGAAGAGTATTCTAATGTTGAACAGCTCTTACCATCAGGATGTTATTCCTAATGTTTAGGTGGAATCTCCTGTTTCCTGTCCTCAAGGACCAAAAGAAATGCTAGCATTTGTTAGAACGCCTTTTTCTTCCAAGAGCTCTATCTTCCTATCAAGTGTTTACATCTCGGCTTCAACCACATACGTTCAATCCATTATAAAACCTGGAAGAGAACTGAAGGTCATGCAAATCAACCCTTGGTCTCAACAGAAGAGACCTTGAGATACCACCACCATCAACCTTTCCTCAGTAGCTTTGTTTTCTAATTTCACCAGCAAAGAAATGGAATAATGAAAGTTGGTGAACAAATATCATGGAAGATACTGACCACAGCTAAAGGCCATCTTCTTCCATAAACATGGCAGACATGGAGGGGAGGGATCAGCAGAACATATCAAAATAAGTCTATATAAACAGAGAACAAGAAATGAACACCAATATGAAGCAATGAGGAACAGGGAATCTCTCTACTTACAGTTTACCCCAGTGGTACTGATATTTTTTACCCTTGGGACTGCCATTTACATCTACATGTGGATGTCGCACCCCCTCCCTTGACATAGTATATAAATAAAAATATTTTGTTTATTTAGTGTACATATTTTCATTCCCACATTCCTGTATATTCATATTTTAACATTTTATAAGGAAAAAAACATTCTTTAAAATTGTTATTTAAGTAAATTCAATATTTAACCCAACTCACATGTTAACTCAACACATAAATAAATAATGCAAGTAAATAAATAAATAAAACTTGGGAAGAGGAGGAGGGATCAGGGTTTCCAAGTCTAGTTTAACCATTCAATTCATAAAGCAACCAGTGCTCTTCTTTTCTTTAAAAAAAAAAATCAGTTTGCGATACTGCTCCATCTATCATTTTAGAATACTTTAGGACAGAATAATTTAAGGAAGATACACCTCATTTTACAACTGCTCTGTCAATAAAAAGTACTGAAAGTTTGGGAATTGGTGTTATGGGTTCCCTCCTCCCGCTTGCCTTTTCCATTGAGCAGTAAATCAGGTGCAATCTCCAAGTGCCTTTAAAATCATTTCCAGATCTTTTACCTTAAAAAGCGACGGGTGGATGGAGTTGTTTATCATCTATGATATGAAACCTTTGAGAGCTTTATAGACAAAAGCAGATGCGCTTTTTATGACAACTTTAAAAACAGCAGAACAATGTAATGAATTCAACCGTGGTATGAACAGTAAAGAAATATTATAGTCGGAAAACTGGTGCTGATGCAATGGCTTGAGGACTCTGGGAGACCAGGGTTCAAATTCCTGCTCAACCATGGAGACCCACTGGATTACCTTGGGCAAATCATACTCTCTCATCCTAAGAGAAGAGCAATGGCAAACATCCTCTGAACAAAATTTTCCCCAAAAAACCTATGATAAGAGTTGCCACAGGTCAGAACTGGCTTGAAGGCATGTGGCAACAAAACCTTTACAGCCACCGGTGAATGTAAGAAGTGATAACGTGAAAGGTTGACTACACATTTTGACCAAGTGTTGGTGTCTCTGCAATATGCCTCTTGTATTATTCAATACGTCAAAAAAGCCACAAGAGTCTGGTATCAACATGGATGCTTACAAAATTCTCTCCATTCAGATTTGTCTCTGGATTTGAAAATTCCCAATTATTTCAACTTGGTTCCAAAGTGGCACCAACAAGTCAATGATCTGCCATAGCATCATAGAGTTGGAAGAGACCCCAAGGGCCATCCAATCCAACCCCATTCTGCCATGCGGGAAGACACAATCAAAGCCTTCCTTATGCAAGATGGCCATCCAGACTCTGTTTAAAAACCTCCAAAGAAGGAGACTCAATCACCCTTCGAGGGAGCGTCTTCCGCTGTCAAAAAGCTCTTACTATCAGGATGTTCTTCCTAATGTTGAGTTGGAATCTCTTTTCTTGTAGTTTGAATCCATTGCTCTGCTCCTATTCTCTGCAGCAGCAGAAAACAAGCTTGCTCCATCCTCAATATGACACTCCTTCAGATATTGAAACAAGGCTATAATTTTATCCCTTAACCTTCTCTTCTCCAGGCTAAATATACCCTGGAGGTTTGGTGGTTTCCAGACCTTGCGCCATCTTGGTCGTCCTCTGGACATGATCCATTATTCCATTTTCTAACCCTAGAAACTACCCAAACCACCATGTGTGTTCAATTTGCCACATTTCTTTTCTTTGCTTCTCCAACATCCCTTGCATTTTATCAATATACACTAGTGAATATGCAGAATGACTGAATCACACTACAAAAAAGTAATCTCAATGGCATCACATCAAAATTGCTCTCCCCCCTGGTGATTTCACCAATGTGCACAAATGCTGGTACACAGCATTATCATTTCAATTATGTATATGCATCACCAAAAATAACAAGAACAACAAAAGAATTAATGAGCTCCTATTTTCAAGCATGGGATCTAAAATTAAAAATAGCATAAATTAGAAAAGGAAAGAAAAGTGCGGGCAAGCTATGCTTGCACCAATGCCAAAATTAATTTCAGATATTATCAAAGTAAAAACAGAAGGGAATTGGGAAAGGAAAGTAGGGCACAGCAAACCAGCAACAAAAGTGTTTGGTTACAGCAACAAAACACATATGGGGGAAATGCACTCACCCCGAAAGGGGAGACACACTGGAGGGTCACAGCCCTCCTCTCCAGGAAAGAAGTCTGCTATTTGACCAGATAAGGATGAATTTTATAGCTAATCTATGTATCTCATTGCTATTTTTGCTCTAGCATGCCAGAATGAATATTTCCAAACATTTCCTTCCCACTAGGCAAGATTAAAAAAAAAAAAAAAAAGGTTGTGCACATTTTTCAATAGTTTTATGCACTTTGGAGCTTTTTGCAAAATAAATAAATAAATAAATAAATTCTGCAACTTTGGCTTCTATGCCAAACACACATATATACATACACACACACATACCCCAACCTATTCTCTTCTACACAACGATCTTGCTTTTTGAACAAAAATGGTAGGCTTGTGAGACAATGTCCTTTTTTTAATTCTGAAAAGTCTCATAGCAGTTGACCATTAACATTCTTTGTCAAGGATGAGAAAATCTGTAAATATGGTTTAATTCATTAGTACTCCAGATATTGTATTTGCCATGGGAATCTTCATTCAACCCACTACACCTCTACATACTTTCCCAAATTCACCCCATGAAGGAAGCTGTCGCATGTTCAACCTTTATCAATGAAAAATTGAAATGATGCTTGCTTGGATGGAGAAAAACAGTAGAAGGCAGTGATGACAGATGAAATGAATTATGCTTCAGCCTCAAGGGCAGAGGAATTACTACACTGAGAATAAATCTCAAAACAAGATGCTCATTTCCAATGGTTGACATTCAGTGGAAAATGTAAAAGTCTAAACAAATGCTTTCCATGACACCAGTATCATAGGCCAGACATTGGCAAAAGAAGCCTGTGAGCTATGCATAGCTTTGACATGGAATTTGGGTATTTCAAGAAATTTTAATGTTGGGCTCTTGCAGATGTTGACCGTGAAATTGCAATGGAGGACCTGCAAATGCCGAGTGATGTGCTCTTTCTAGATATCTCCAACTCCTACAGCGTGACTTTTGGCAGAAGTTGACAACAGAGGACCTAGAGATTTCTAGAGAGAACATATTAATCAATATGAATGTGAATAATCAAAGTCAAAAGTCAAAGGCGCAAATGTGGAGGGCTAATTGTATTGACCACTTTTAGAAAGTACACAATGCACACATTTCTGTCTTTATGAAGGGCCTACACTCCCCAATATGGGAATTTTTATCAAAAGGAAAAGGTTTCAGTCCTGAGTAAACCAAACCCACTGATGGGTTCACCTTAGGTTCTCAATACGCTGGAAACAACCTGAAGGCACACAGCAACAATTACAATCATTAAGACGACAACAGTATAACTAAAACAATTATTCCAGCAGTGGTTTACTGCCTTCCTCTTCTGGCCTTCCTCTCTCACCTATAATAGTCACCCGATGTATGGGAAAAGACGTAAGGCTTTCCTAAAAGTTCACCTTTTTGTGTTTTAGGTGTCTGGTACAGGAATGGTAGTGGGACCAGAAGTGAAAGATGGCGAGCCTCGAAGATGCTATTGGGACAAGTGCTAAACCAGGGCGTTTTCCCAAGCCAATCTGCATCCCTAGTACAAACCAGTACAGTGTAGTGGGTTGAGCATTGGACTATGACTCTGGAGACCAGGGTTCAAATCCCTGCTCAGCCATGGAAACCCACCAAGTGATCTTGGACAAGTCATACTCTCTCAGCCTCAGAGGATGGCAATGACAAACCTACTCTGAAGAAGCTTGCCAAGAAAACCCCATGATAAGGTTACCATAAGTCGGTAAATAACTTGAAGACACTTGAAACCACACAACAACAACCAAGTACAATACTAGAGGTTGCAACCTACAACTCACGATCTTATTTGTCTATCCAGCTCCTAGACCCAATGTGTAAAACACAACGATTTCAAGCACTTCCAGGCAGCTCTCAACCTGCCACAACTGTGCATCGTTGTGTTATTCTTGTGTTGCATCTTCCTCTGCTCAATATAAATTTTTGTTGGGTGGAACGCACACAACCATTTTGCTATTTGCTTAGTTTTAATTCACTTTGTCTCCCAACAACCTTGGCTTGAACGCAGCAACACCTTTAAGCTCAGCGCACCGCAAGAGACAAGAGACGGTCTCTTGCAGTAAATGACGAGGACGCAACATTGCTCAGTCTTCCATCCCTGGTCTCAAGAGGGCACCATTAAAATTTGAATAATTTAGTATGCATTTCAAGCACTTCTCCCATTTTCTGCTCTTACCTCTGTGCATAAAGAGAGAAAGAAAATAGGCAAGACAACAAAAGGAGAAGGGCAGGTGGAAGTGAAGCCACCGCCAAGAAGGGAGTG